GATGCTCGTCCATTTCCGGTTGTGTAGATTAAAGCGGAGGAAAACCGGACAAAACGGGATTATGGCAGAGTCTTCAATATTTACTGTCCTCCCGTCTTTGAAACGAAACGTACATACGTTTATACGTAATTTTATATATAGTTATGTTTATTTAATATAATTTTAAAAAGAAGCATAAACACAACGAGGGGTGTCTGTTTTATCTGTTTTTGTGACTAACGTTTCTTTAGTATAACCATGGAGTATAAAATTCAATATAAATTCTCGGTATTGCATTGGACTCTACGATCGGCGGAAGTTATCGAGCATCCTTAATCCTTCACCGGAAATAACGCCGTGCATAGAGCCCATTCATATTAGACCGATCTACCTTTGTGCAACTGGCTTTATAAAGTTAGGACCAGTTTTGAAGATGACTAACTTTAAGACTAGTCTTAGCAGTTTATGCAACTGGCCACTGGCGCAAAATTTCAAGCAGCTCTGCTTTCTTTACCGGCTTGTGACCTTCCATCTTCGGCTTGATCACATTCCGGAGGTTTTCAGTGGGGTTTAGTCTAGAGTTTGGGCTGGCCATGACAGGATCTTCATCTGGTTGTCCTCCATCCACACCTTGATTGGCCTAATTGTGTGACATGGAGCATTGTCCTGTGGGAAAAACACATCTTAAGCCCTATTCGCACGGGATTAGTATTATCTGGTGACCTGTAGTAATTTGTAATAATTGCGGAGTTTGTCTGTGATCTTAATCCCGTGCGAATCGGCCATGTCTGTAATTTGATTTCACTTTAATGTGATTTGGCCGGATCGTATATCATTTTTTCAAGGTTTTTGTTTCATCTGCGCCTTTTTATCCATTTTTCGTGGAGAATAGAGGCTGATTTGGAGTGTTTTGATATTATTTTGGGTGCGGGGTCATATTGCTAGTACAACTATACAATTTGCAGAAAGAGAAAGCTGTACCATCAGAATAGCAAAAACAAAAAGAACGATTAGATGGAATGACATGTTTAGCAGGATATAGTAAGGACAATTCTTCTGTTTATTATATACAGCTAGACATAATAACGACAAGACATTTCAAAGCTATAGCCTAATGATATCATATCCGGGAGATAAGTCAGTAAATTCGACTAAAATCACAGGCTTCGCTTATCCTGTGCGAATCCGCCACACGAAATTCAGACGTGGGTGGGTAATTTTTTCAAATTGACATGTGGTCCCCAGGTAATACTAATCCCGTGCGAAAAGGGCTTTAGAGTTAGGGAATATTGTCAGAGCAGAAGGATGCAGGCTTTCTTCACTCGCTAAAATTAAATCGAAATGATCGTGGGAACTGAAATATTCCACAATGCATGCTAAAGAAATAAAAACACCAATCCAAGTGAACAATTTTGTTATGAAATTGTGTTATTCTAAAAAGGATAGTTTATCCAAATATCCAACATTTTTGTCAAAAATTACTGTCAAGTTTTGGTCTCATGCATGTGCTGTGTCCGAAATCGAATACTATATAGTGTGCTAAAAGAGTAGTATGTAGACGAAAAGTCCCCAGATGACCTGGGCTGCGTTCCAGTCCAAAATTGTCATGCCCTTCACTCGCTAACTTCCCTCCGTCTCGTTCACTCGGATGTATGACATTGCTTACGTTACACGAGTGCCCGCCCACTACTGGCGGAAATGGAACGTCCTATCCCCGCCTTGATCACTAGGAATCAGCTATGGAGTTGATGATTTATATATTTTTTTTCTTTAAGAATTTGTTTAAAGCAGCATCCAAATCTATATAGGTGTGTTTGGTTTGTTTTAAATTTTAAAACAATTATAATTAATATTTCATAGAGTTGTTTGTGGTGGTGGTGGTGGTGATAAGACGAGATCTGAGGTGACGTCACAATCGTGTATATATAGAGCTGCCTGATGTGTACATATGAAGTATGACTTGCACCCTCTGTTAAAATCGAGGGAACTAGGGTCCGTCCATATAAACTTCCCTCGTTCACTTCACGAAGTGGAACGCACTTCAAAATGGCGGCAGGGATTCCCCCGAGGCGAAGTGCTTAGGGAAATTCGCAAGTGCGTGTCTAAAAGTGGACTCGAACGCAGCCCCATTACTTCTGCCAAGATTCTGAAGTGCGCATTTGATGGTCACTTTACTGTCCAATGTGTCACTTAACTGTCACAACTGATGCTGGTAGTCCATGTGACCGTAACAACATGGTTGATGTAGTATGTCCGAATTTCATTCATACTATCCATATTTTGGTTACTCATTGGTTCATTGATTAACAAACACCTGCTCCTTGTTTTCATCATTAGTTTGCCCTGTGTAGCCCTCACTTTGTTCACTTGTGTTTCTCCTATGATCTTCCTTATGGTTAATCTTGTGAATTATCTTCTTCGTTTTGTTTATAATAATAGTGCCTCTTCTCCTTGTTTTGTCTGACCCACAGTGACTATAACTTCAGAGATTTTTGTCCCTCGATTGACGGAAACTGACTGAAAGTGGAAGTAATCCATTTGAATAAGAGAGACAACCACTGTATATGATGAACATTTAATTTAAGCTTTTATTCACATAGAAACATTGATTATCCTTACAAATAGAGCACATCAATTATGGTAAATGGAAGCTTAAACATGCTTGCTTGACCCGTGAGAACCAATGATGTTTGTTCTTGTGCTTTAAGCAAATACAGTTGAGCTTCCACTCACCACTAGTTTTCGTATTCTAGCCTATTTTCTGCAAAAAGATTTGTTTATATATTTTCGTTACAGATGACATTTACATGTCTGCCTCTGTGTGGTAAACTGCTGACCTCAATACTATTTGAATAACATCCAAAATTTTCGACGTAGACAGTCCTGTCAGCTCTAAGGAGGCAAACCGTCCCAGCATTTTTACACACCATTGCTAAACAACAGCAAATTAAATCATGTTTTTTTGACTGATGAGCCTCATATCAGAGATCTTTAACCACCATGATTAAGAGTCAAACAACATGTTGGAGCAATTGAGACAACAGCGGCCATTATTATCCCCCTCCCCCTGCACCAATACCACCCAACACACATACACTGAGGTATGAAAGACTGACTGAACACATGCTAAATGAGCCATGGCTCACACATCATCACTGGATCCTTCAAACGGTATCAGGTAAGCGGCATGTGTCAAAAGCGGCACATGTGCAAAGATACTCCGGTTCATAAACTATTTCACTGCAAATCCCACTGACCCAGATTCGTTCGTAAATTAGCATGCTGCTCAGCCTTGCGTGAAGTCTGCAGTGACATCCAGACATGAGTGAAATGATGAAAGTACTCATTTGATGCTATGCGTTAAATGAGCCGTGTAACAAGTGTTGACAACATATGTTGTGAAATACTGAGAATGCTGTAAAATCTCAAAATGGAGGTTTTTCGATATCCCTCGGGTTACTTTCGTGGACTTATCTATCTCCAACTTTCAAGTCAATAACGTCAACTTACAATTGTAAATCTAAAAACCAAGTAAACATCCTTGTTCCTTCTGAAATGTCACATAACATAAGTAAATGTGTTGTGAAATGGATTTTTTTTTGTGTGTGTGTGTTTTATGTTTTAAGATTTTCATTGAATATTATAGGCCAGGGATTTAAGGGCCCTTTCACACCTACCTTGTTTGGTCCGGACTTTCGGACTTTTCAGTTTGGTCCGAATCAAAATTACACATATGAAGCCTTCTCAGACCACCGTTCGGACCAAACAGATGAAATTTGGTCTGATGAAAAGAGGTAGTCTCGGTCCGGATCAAACTGGAAAAAAGGTTTGGTTTGTTTGTAGTGTGAAAGCATTTCTGTTTGGTTCGGACTTTCAGACCTTTTACAGGAAGATCTGGTGGTTCCCAAAAAGCCGAAAAAACAGAAGGTGGCAGGAAAAATGAGCCGTGTAGCACATGGGGAGATGAGTAGACGAGGTTTTTAATTGAATTATGGTCTGATGACATAAGTCAACTTCAAGTCAAGTCTTCTTCTTTCCTGCCAGCGGCGATAAAATGTTTGCGCGACGAGGACATTCATTTGGCGAATTTGAACTAGCCTTGTGTATAGTTGGTGTTGCAGGTAATTATGCCATAAAAATAACAATATAGTTGCAACGATATGCGTCTGTTCGTTCATGTTGTCAAAGTTACCCGGCGAATTGACAACACGCTGACGTCAGACGCACGTCCATTTACTAAACCAATCAATGTCAAGAGGCAGCCCACATAGATGATGACAGAACGTAACTATGTCATGTAAAGCTCTTTAGTGCGTTCACATAATTGCAGTGTGAAACCTAAACCAAACCTTTCTGAAAGTTTAAAATGTATCAGAACTTGAACTTTGGTTCGGATCTTGGTGCGGACTTTTAGGTGTGAAAACGCCCTAAATCTTTCGGGTCCCTTACAGAAAACATGTTGTGACAAATAGTATTATGCTACAAATGTTAATACCATGGTACTTTTATTGTACCCCAGTGTTTTACTATTGTACCACAGCACTAATTGTTATTCACATACATTACTGTTCAAAATTTGAATTCTTTCCTAGAATAATAATAAATGTTTCTTGAGCATATTTTTTTCTGAAGGATCGTGACAGTGAAGAGTAATGATACAGAAAATTCAGCTTTGCAATCACAGGAATAAAATACATTTTGAAATATTAAAAAAAAGAAAAGTTGAGGATGGTTTGGACAACTTTGCATCTCATATAAAACCCATTTTTTTGGATGGCAGAAAGAATAGAAATACTTTAAAAACTTTGAGCAACACAGAACTCCAGACTGTCGCTCTCCATAGACCTTCATTGTAAGTCCATTATTGTACACAAAAATGTAATTGTTTTAATAAAAATAAATAAATAAATAAACAACAACTCAGAGGCAGTTCTTTGGCAGTTGTGCCACTGATTATGTTGATTGAAGCTTTGTTTTATTGAGCATGTAATATTCCTTCTTTTTTTGCTGTTTATCCATAGGTTGCCCCTACAAGCAGATGACTCCCACCCCAAGCAGCAACGCCTCCGACAAGTCCTCCAAAGCCTCTGAGGTGGGTGACGAGGTGGCCGGGGACTTTGTGGTCGGTGAACGTGTCTGGGTGAATGGAGTCAAGCTAGGAGTCATCGCCTATCTTGGAGAGACCCAGTTTTCCCCGGGACAGTGGGCTGGAGTGGTGCTGAATGACCTGGTTGGAAAAAATGATGGCTCTGTGAATGGAGTGCGTTACTTTGAGTGCCAGGCTTTGCAGGGCATCTTCACCCGGCCTTCCAAACTCATGCGGCAACCCGCCGGGGATGGGGGTGACGAGCAGCAGAACACACAACTGCAGGGTGGTGCGGGAGCATCCGGTCAGCGGGTGGTCATGCCGCTCAGAGAAGGCATGCTCAACAGCTCAATCAAAACCGGCAATGAGTCAGGATCCAACATGTCTGACAGTGGATCTGTGAAGAAAGGGGGAGAGAAGGACCTTAAGGTCGGAGATCGAGTGCTGGTGAGTGTTGATTTTTTTTTTTTTTTGAAAGTCTATATGTGATGCGATCTGGGAAAACCCGTCGGATGTCGCGCTGGTACGTTTTCAGTAAAGTCTAAATATAGATTGAATGTCAAAAATTGTGTTTTTATTAAATTATTATTCCATAAAATCTTGTTTATCATCTCTGAATATATCTTGGGAAAATTCACTAGTTTAGTAGAGAAAAATAGCGATTTATAATGTCCAGCTGAACAGACTGTTTCTTAGCTCTCCTTCTCTTAACACTACAAAGACAGTTCACCTATCAAAATAAACCACATAACAGAATAAAGTCCAGTCCTGGGTGAACTACAACAGCCCGCAAGTTTTTATTTATTTATTTTTATCCAGCGTTATTGTGTGGTGTGATGCGGAGCACAAGAGAACAATAGAGTTTTAAGCTGCTCGTTTAAAAGACCTTGCTCGCCTCTCGATCGTCCAATTTCAAGACGGTTTTCACAGGTTGAATTTTGAGTTCGTAAGCTTTTGAATGAAACCTAATCTATGATGATTACTAAAATATGTGATATAAAAAAGGGAACGCCAGTCGTCCCGCTAGCAGGACGTGACCTTTAATTAAACCTGTTTTTCTCAAAATTCCATTTCTGAAAATCATAGCGATCAGCCGACTTCAGATAACTATAACTTTTGTTACAGACAAACGATAAAAGAAATAAAAACAGATTTGGAAAGGGCTTGAACCCAGCTTTAATATGGTCTCAACTTGTAATATGTCAAATTTCACCATGCGGTGAGTTTTCCCAGATTGCATCACATATAATCCAAGACGGATCACTCATTTCTATGAACAGGAGAAAGTGTAACGCGCAGTATGGTGGAATGAATGTTCGGCCATATTTACCATTACTCTGGCAAAATTCAGTCATTTCAATTGGAATCCGTGCGCTCTGGAGTTTTGCCCGAGGGTAAAAATGTTCCACAAGCAGATTGTTGCTTGTGTTGAAGTTGGTCAGGTGAATTCACCGTGATGACCAGAAAGCTGCTTGGTTATAAAGTGACTTATGTTGGGTGAGCTGTGCTTCAAACATCGCTACACTATTGACAATGTCTGCACAATTTTGATGAAATATCGCTATTGTGATCGCACAGAACCAATCACAAATTGGTAAAGTCATCACATCACTGCAGATGCCATCAGAAGCTGAATGCCAGTTCACTCGGCAGTTGGCAGCCATATTTGCAATAGATCCCTATGGAGCTTTTCACACCTTGCGTGATCAATTGCAGCGCGACAAAGCAAGCTTTTTTGACCAGTGTGTCTATTTTTCCCCGTCAGCACGCAATGAAATGAGCTGTCTAATTAGATTTAGTTACACAAAAGTGTTTGTGTTCAGTCAGTGTACAAGCTCCATTCGGAAAGGGTCTTTAGGCTCAGGAAACTTTAAAAAAGATTATATATCTGATTGGTCCAGTCAATGCTCATGTGCAGTCCTAAGTACACACCGGAGCATCTAATATCAGCTATAGTTGTCGCAATGACTTTACCAATTGATGATTGACTCTTTTATTTAGAAGGCATGGCTTATTCTGCCATATTTTGCATTGTACTTTTAAGCGTCTTGGTATAGCTATAGTTTTTGCTGGGAACTGCTCATGTGCATTGGCTGGACCAACCTGAAATTTTGGAGCACAAGAAACAACGTTTATGGGACTGTTAATGTCAGATTTTATTTCCGATTTAAAGTATGTTATTTAAATATGAGTTTGGCAGCGTACCCAAAATAGCTGCCCGAAGGAGTGGCAAATATGGCCGCTAAGTAAAGCTGACTTGCCATGAAAGGGAAGAGTAGAGTCGAAGTGCTCTGTTGAAATGTCTGCTGTTCATCTCTGATAGCATTTTCTTAAGATAATAGTTCTGATTCAAAGAGTTGATTGGCTGAGTGCTGATGTTTAGTATGTTGTTTGTCACTCATCTTAGCAGTGAAGTGTTAGTGTTAGTGAAGCAGAGTGGTGTCAGTTTGCCTTCTGCGAGGAAGGCAAAAATCAAAATGCTTACTGACTTTCTTGATATTAACTTGTTTATTGAACTGTTCTATATTTGCAACCACAGCCATGTTCAGGAAAACAGCAGTCTGGCTAAATGTCTCTTGATTAAAAAGGACCTATAATGCCCTTTTTTGATGTCTTTATTTTGTTTTGGGGGTCAAATAAAATAGGTGTTCATGCTTGAATGTTCAGAAAACACATTATTTTTCATGTCACTGTGAAAAACTGTGTAGTTTTTGTTTCTATGAAGCTCCTCATTCTGAGAAGTGCAATGTGCTTTCTGACTGGTCAGCTGGACCAGTGTGTTGTGATTGGTCAACCGCTTCTAGTGTTTTTTGGTTAATGTTATTCTGCTTACTATAACTGCGAGTTTCAACACACTACTAACACAATTCAACCATGCCATGTCCATTTTTTTGCGTATACATGCCTTTGGGTGGGAATTGTTTCAATGAGAAATGTTGTGAGGGGTACGTTCCCAGAAGACAACTCAAGACTACAATCGAGGCATTTTAGGGAGTTTTTCAAGCAATGTATTGTGTACTAGGGCTAGGCGCCAAAATCATCTCATACCCCGATAACGATATACATCATGATATAGTACTTAGTAATTAAATCAATTTATAGTTTATATATTGACCAGATGGAAAATATATTTTCTTTTCTTTCAATTTATTTTCTTTATTTCTTTCTTAGTTTTTAAAGTATCAAAAATTTGATTATTTTTCTCCCTTTATTTAGAACAACTGGGAAAATGATTGATTAAGAATCTATATAAAATATGAATGAAATATAAATACTTTTCAAAATCAAATAATTACAGGCCCAAAAATAAAATATTGCCATATAAATCGCCAAATTGTGTACATTGTATTTGAGGATTGTAAACAATAATTTGGAGTGACTGTGTTTTGTGGTTTTGGGGTTTTACAGACCTTTTTAAACAAAAGACTGACTGTCTTATGCTATGAATAGGCTGTAGGTGAATTCTAATTAAATAGGGAAAGGAAAAGAAGCACAGAATCTAAGACACTGCCATTAATTTAGTACATACACCAACAATTAATTCTGTGAATACTAAGTCAAAGGAATATTTATAAATTGCATTGTTTTGCACAGCAGTACAATGACAATAAAGTCTTTAACTATGAATGCTGTGTACAAAAGAAGTAAAAAAACATGACAAAAAGAATACCAATGTGTAAAGTACAATAAGAAACTCGGATAGGTTCCAGCACTATTCTTCTAAAAGGTTGTGTAAGGATCAATGAATGAAAATAAAAGTACAATAATAATTGAAAAGTAATACATTTTTTACAATAAATTTTAATTAAAATTTTAAAATTGGTCAAATCCAACTCTGTAAACTCAGCATCTGTTTTCAGAAGTGCCCTGCCTTCCACTGGTCCACTGACTCTTTCCAGTCCAGTGGGTTTTAATGTGTAAAAGTTCAAATTGTGTGCTGAATCTGCTGATGCATAATGCACTGCCATAGGATTAATCTTGTTTCCCGTGTGGGTTGCATTTTTGTTGTCTATCTTGCAAATCTTTGTTCGATCCAGCCTCATGAAACTACTGACATGGATGTTGAAGCCTGTAAATGACTTGCATGCTCTTACAGTTGATGGAGAATCTGATGAAATACCGTTTGTTGGGGAAAACCTTTTATATTTCTTTGAATTGATATTACAGTTATATATATTCAGTGGTTCAGAATATATAGGGTACAATGAGACTGAATACTGGACTGCTTGGCTGTTGAAATGCTCCATCCTGGTGATGTGTTTTCTGTAAACTTTTGCGAACAGAGCTAGAGTCCAATTATTTAACCTTTTTTTTATTTGCTTGCGGGTGCATTTCAGTATGCTATTACAACGCATTCTCATCCTTTAGCGTCATATAGAACGCTATATGACAAAACGGCGCTATACTACGCACATGGCACCCGTTATCGTTAATTTAACACGTGCTGTGATGGGTAGGTTTAGGTGTGGGGTAGGGTTACGCTAAAGGATTTATGACGACTTGGTTTCGCGTGTTATATTAACGATAAAGGGTGCCATGTGCGTAGTATAGCGCCGTTTTGTCAAAGGATGAGAACGGGCTGGCAAATATCAATTACAGATTTGCCTGTCCCTAAATGTTGTGTATAAAGTAAACTATTGTTCTTATCTGGCTGTGAACAACTAATATGTGGCTTCTCTTGTGTTAGATTTCTCATGTTAGGTAACAGATGCTGCCCAATAGCTGTCTGCTTGAGTATGCAGTTGATTGGCTAGGGGTCAAATTGCTATCCATTTAGTGTTGCGTAGTCCTAAAGCTTTTCAAGCAGTCAATATTCTTAATCAGATGGGATTACTGCTCCATAAACCATCAGCCATTGATCTTAGCTATCTATTTGTCTGCCTGCTTCAATCCCGACTGACACCTGATTGGTTTGTTCAGTGCTAAACACATCAGGGATGATCCCCTTAGACACAGAGTCATAGAGGCTGATTTCCCAGAGGCTGATTTTTCTTAAAACTAAATTTGATTTCAATGTTAATATTGTGTGATTAGAATTAGGTTGATGGTAAAACTGCTTTGCATTACTGCCCGATGCACCTCCGCCGGTGCCAAATTGCTAGCCACAGGATCATCAGCTGGGAGCCACCCTTTACCGATGTTTCACCCCTTTAGTCCCAGAACATCTCAGAGTGTTGCGCCAGTGGGCAAGGACGTCCCCTGCCACTTCCTGCAGCTGGACTTAGATCTCAGGTCCTTATGCCTTGAGGCTTCTCAGCACCCCAGCTCTTGTCATTCCTCCTCAGCCATAGCCAAAAGCTTCCTTCCTCTTCAGCAATATCTTTTACAGCTTTCCCGACCTCGCCAGATCCGACTGGTTGACTGGGAAACAAAGCCATGGCAGCCTTTCTCCACTGGGTAAGTTGTTTCTCTCCATCCCTTTCCCTGGCATTCCACTACCAGTTCGG